AAGGCGAGAAGCCCACGCCCAGGCCCCTAGAGCCCAAGAGCCCACATGCTGGCCCAGAAGCTCATGGCAGGCCTGGAAGGTCAGTGCCGGCCCAAGCCCCTGACTGCCTCCCACCTAAGGCATCAGGCCCAGCCCTGCCCAGGGACCGGCACCCTGTCAGCTGCTCAGAAGTCAGGTGCTCTGGGCAGGTGGGAGGCTTCCCGGGCTCCTGCCCTCTCCCCCTGCCCTGGCTTGGAGAGGGCAACTCACAAGCTTCAGCGCAGACCCCTTTTATGCCTCTGGGTCTGGGGACCCTCCATGAGAAGTTTTAAGTTCAGAGAAGGCACATTTCCCTGATAAAGATACGGCCCATTAGAATACAGACCCGAGACTGGCTGAGCCGTGGGAGCTGCGTCGCCATTGGTTGAGGCCCACACGGGCCTCACATTGGCTTTTCCTAGACAAATTGCACTTTGAAAGATTGACTGTAAAATCAGCCAGGGTGTGTGTGTGTGTGTGTGTGTGTGTGTGTGTGTGTGTGTGAGAGAGAGAGAGAGAGAGAGAGAGAGAGAGAAAGAGAATGAGCTCGAGCAGCTCTGTTTGCCGTCAGACGTCAGAGGTTCCACCAGCTCCCCCAAGTCCAGCATCTAGGAAAAGGTGGGTGTCTGGGTTGCTCCTGGAGGCTCAGGAGGCCTCTGGAAGTCACAGTTCCTGCAGCCGGCCCCTGAGGGAGAGGAGGCCGGCTCAGAGGTCACTGTGCCGAGCTGCTCTGACCCTGTATGTGTGGAGGCCCGAGTTCAGCAATGCAGCTGCTGCCTTCCCCCTGGGTGCTGGGATGGGGTAAGTGGGAGGCTGGGCAATGCCTGCTTTCAGGGGATCCTTGTGGCTGGCTTGAGAGTCTAAGGTGGGAGGTGATGAAGTCAGGGCTGGGAGTCGATGGGAGCAGAGACCGAAGGGAGGATGGCTGTGCAGGCATGGGCTCTCCTCTCTGGGTGGCCTTCCCTGACCTCTCTGATGAACGCCTTCCTCAGTTGTGCCTCTGTGAAGCACGGTCACTCTGTGGGCTGGGTGCCTGGGTCTGAAGTCCCTGATGGCTGGGAGGGCTGTGGGGCAGCTGGTTGGTGCTCAGGCAACATTGGGAGGGCTGTGGGGCAGCTGGTTGGTGCTCAGGCAACATTGGGTTCCTGGGACTGGCTTGGATCACAGAGTGTCTGCATGCTTTTCTTTTCTCGAGTATATTTTTACAATGAACAAGGCTCTGCTGGGGCAATCTCTCATTTTACAGAGAGGGAAACTGAGGTACAGAGAGTCAGAGACCACGTTCCAGAGGCATAGGTTATTCCTTAATTGGATAGCATTCTTATCTGGCGCTTTTCTCTAAAAATGGAAACCAGCATGCCACTGGTCTGAACATGCAAAAGACAGGAAAAACAGTGACTGTCAGGCAGATGGGCTTTTGCCCCCTCCTTCTACCCTGCCTCATGTCTTCAACGCCCTTCCTGGACTTACTTGTTCTCTGGCTTACCACTGTGGTCTGCACTTCGGCGGCTGAGAGATGACAGACACCACCTGCCTGGCCTTCCTATGGGCTCCAAGGCCTTCTTGGCTTCCAGTGGTGGGGCAGAGGGCTGGGGCTGAAGAGAGCTTCTTTCTCAGGCAGAACTAGACCTTCCAAGCCACGCTCTCTGTAGCGTAGGTGATTTAGGTTAATGCAAAGAAGACCTCACAAAGGTGTAGAGAAGGTTTTCTACATATCTGGGTTAAAAACAGGAAAAGGCAGTCGAGTGCGGTGGCTCATGCCTATAATCCCAGCCCTTTGGGAGGCCAAGGCATGGAGACTGCTTGAGTCCATGAGTTCAAGACCAGCCTGGGCAACATAACAAGACCTCATTTCTAAAAAAAAAATTAGCCGGACATTGTGGCTCATGCCTGTAGTCCCAGCAACTCGAGAGGCTGAGGAGGAAGGCTCAACTGAGCCCAGAAGGTCGAGCCTGTAGTGAGGTATGAGCTGTCACTACACTCCAGCTTGGGTGATAGACCTTGACTCAAAAACAAAACAAGAGAAAGCTTCTTGTTCAGCTGAGTTGACTTTGCCACCAGGTTGTGCATCACGACCATTTGGGAAACTTAATTCTGATTCCTGGTGTTGATTCTGGTCCCACCCAGGCGACTGACAGTCCGAACTGCACTTTAAAAAGTCCCTTGGGGGTTGTAGATGTATCACATGGTTGGCTCACTGACCTGGGCAGCCTTTCAGATTGCAGGCGAGAAGCTTGGGACGGGTGCAAGCTGGGGGTGCTCCAGGAACCTTGGGACTGTAGCTGGGCCACCACTTATGACCGGATTGTATAAGGCAGGGAAGATGCAGCAAGTGATTGATTCTTAATGCCGAGCCTGACAAGGGCGCTGGTGTCTGGAACCCCAAAATGACAAACTAAAGAGACTTCAGCAATCACTTAATCCACCCTCCCATTTGACGGATGAGGAAATTGAGGCCAGCCTGGTGGTCAGCCTTGCAGAAAGGATTAGCAACTAGGTAGCAAAAACATGGTAGTTTTTTCTTTATAGCACGAGTGAGTTCTAGAATTTTGCATGGCTTTGAATACCGGGGCCGGATGTCCTCCCAGGGAGCACTGGGGTGTCCCCCTCCGTGTCTGCCAGCTGTGGGTCTGTCCAAGCACCCTGGTGGGTGGTGGTGCCCCCTCCCCAGACTTCTGGCTTCCCTCATCTCATGGTAGCCATTTGGTGGGACAGAAGTCTGCTCTGCCCCCTCTCTGGGGGCTTTTCCCAGGTGGGTGGTCCTAATCGGAGGCAGCCCAGTCTCCCAGGAGGAGTGGGGATTGTGGGACCCTCGTGGGGTGCGGGCCTCTCTGCCGACGGATCCCACCCGCAGACGCCTCCACTCGCAGCCCGGGCCTCCCGCCACCCAGCCAGGCACACCCTGCAGACGGGGAAGGAGAAATGAGCCCTGTGCCATGAGTCCATTTCTTTATTAATTTCGACATTGGTTCAGCTGGTGTAGGGAGAATGGTCTATACATCAGAGTGGGGGGTATTCTCTCCCAGAACAGAGCAGGTGGGAGAGAGTCAAGAAAAGATTCCTTTTCATAACAATTAAAAAAATCAAGGTCATTTCAAAACTTCTAAAAAGCGTCTAAGGTGCAGACTGCAGCATTCTCTAGGCATCTGTGT